GAGTGCAACTCTTGTTGATTTTCACCATCCATGGGTGACTCACCAATATTCAAGGTAGGGAATTGGTAATTCATCTCTAAGGCTTTATCTCCTTCAAGAAACTTGTTAAAAGATTTCTATTTACAGGGTACCCGTTTTTGAGCAGCATGTTGAAAATATAGTTGGCATTGCATATGCAATGGATGTACTTGATTTTGCTCGGAAGGTCAGGCAATTTGTTCCTTTGACACACCTTTTTTTCCATCATTAGATCTTTTCTTATCATTATATGCAACAATGTCAGTATCCTAGCATGCAGATTTGCAATCACTTTGATTTTTATTTCTTTTTTTGGGAACTAGTGAAGGGTGAGCAACTTGAAAGTTCTACTATGGGAGACATGGCTCACAAACCTGCCTACTTTGTGCCTGGTAACCCTTGACTTTTTTTCTCTAGTTGATATTTTAATGATGTTCTTTGGGTTGATACTTTCTAGCTTTTCATGACACTATCCATTGGTTGATTGAGGTAGTTGCATAGTTTTTTTTTTTTTTTCTTTTTTAATTGCTATTACCCCATTTTCTCACCTTCCACATTTTATGTGAAGATGCCATTTCTTTTCTAACTTTTGTAATTAATGGAAGTGCAGAAGACCCTGTTTCATTAGACTTATTTGTTGTTTTAGTAGTTATTGTCTAGGGGAAAAGAAAATGGAAAAAATAGAATGCTTCAACTATCTATACAGTAAAATTTAGAAAGTTGGTTTTGCATATTCAATGTCAGTCTAGAATCTTCTTAGGGTGTTTCTGATGAAGAAGGTTCACATGGCTGTTAATGAATATGGTGGAACTGTTGAGGTCTGTGCAAAGCCTTTTATTGAATCTTTACCTAAGCAGAATCATCCATTGTGTTGACGTTTTTTGTTATGATAAAGTGCCAACTTCTACCATTTTCTTTATTTTTATTTTGTGCCGCATGTCAACTTATGCTAACTTGTAATATCTTGAAACAATAAGGGACAACATTTGTGATATTTTCGACTTTGTTCTAGAGTTAGATGCTGGCCATGCTTTCCCTGCTAAGAGGCTAAAAAAGTAAACAAAATTTTTTCAGTTGGAGCTAGAAGTCCTAAAGATAAAACCTTATTCTTTATTAGCATGTTCTTTGTGCCCACTTAAAGTAGTATTTGTTCATTGTTTGTTGGCATCCAAATGCCATAACATAAACTCAATGGAACGTATGATGGTAAAAGGTCAACCAGGATAATAAGCTGACAGCTGAAAATCTAAAATGGTTAGTATGACCCCTCAATACCTTAACTCATGAGCTTGCACCTAGTATTAGTATGTTATTCAAATTTTACAACTTCCAAAATTTGGCACGTAACATTTATTTCAGGTTCAACATGGTAAACGAGACAAATAGGAGTTCCCTTTAGATGAAACTCAAATGCTCTCTCATATGTTTTGAAATCATTTTTCTTCTAAAGTTCAGATAAGAGTGGAATATGCAGCATGAGAACACAAAAAAGTCTAGAACTTACGATGCATGGGTTTTCTCTCTTTTGGATTGCTTATTTAACAGTATTTGTGCTCATTTTATTGACTAATTGATTTTATATATTTATGTACTGATTTTTTGATGGAGAAGATGGTAACCTTTGAAGATGTGGTTAAGGAGATTGTTGGAGAAATCTTTGATGAAAATGATTCAAAGGTAAGCCTAATTACATCATTAATGACCTTAATGTTCTATTATTGAATCTGTTATTGGAGGCAAGTCTTTTAATTATATAGATGACTTTAGATATTGCATTCTATTATTCCTCAGCAAGGGGATGCTAAGAAAACTTGTTGATGAAGTCCAAAATAAATTGGTGTTGTACATGTGCTGGCAATTTTCTACAGATCATTTGATCTAGATTCTGCTTTATTTCCAGTTGCTGGTCTCTTTTAGTCTGGCATGTATTTTGTCTGCATTTTCCATGTGTCCAAAGAATTTCATGTCACTTCTCACGTCATGTAGATATTTCTTTACTCTATAGGTCTCATATCAATTGGCATTACAAGGTTGAGCTCTGCCTGATTCTTAAGTGATATGTTATATATATATATATATAATGATTCTCAAGTGATACTTATTAGATGCATTTGCTGCTAATTGTATTAACAGGAGGATCCAGAAGAAAATTGGCTATATTGTAATGAGAGCAGAGGGAGTATATGATGTCCATGTCCATGCCCATGCATCATTTATTGGCTGAGGACTTCAATATCAAAATGCCAGAGGTATATTATTCTATACCATTACTGGTTTTCATTGTTATAGTGTGTAGAGCACTGAATGGAGAACTTAAACATTAAAGCTAAAGACTCAGTTATTAGGATATAACTAAACAAAAAGAAAAGAAAAGAAAAGAAAAAAACAAAAAACAAATGAAAAAGAAAAAGGGGAGGATAAAGTAAATAGTTAAAGTGGAATGTGGCATTCAATTCATTTTGAAGTAAAGGCACAGTTAACCTCACATTGTAAATAACTATCAAAGTGTCCTTAACTTATAAATTTCATATCTCTATTCATCATTTCCTTTTTCACCATGCTAGGAAAGTAACATGGAAAGATCAATATGTAATAGATGGATAGGAATGTCTTTCTTAATTTCACTGTAATTGCATATAGTTCCTCAATTACATTTTTATGAAGAAAATTCCTTTCACCTGGGTCTGATGGGTAAACTCATCACAATCAATTCAATTGCATCCTCACTGCTACTTCAAAAATCAGTTTTGCCTTTAGCTTTACATTTTATCTTA